TGCTTTTTCAGACAGTGTTGATGTTGTTTCATGATGTCAAGTCAGAACAGACCCCATAGCTGACCCCTCTAGCAGATTTTTCAGACTGCAAATCACATGAGAGATTGCCCAGCTTTTCCTCGCCGATCAGCTGGTGGATTCGAACCATCTACCTTTGGGTTGACAGCCCAGATTCTTACCCACTAGGCCATCAGAGCTCCCTTTTCAGACAATGAGCAATCCAAATTGGGCCGCAGAAGCAAGTGGGAATGCCTGAGGATGGGATGGGCTGCTTGAGGTTAGGAAGACAAGGATCAGGAATGAGAAACACTATATCTCAGGGCCCCGTCACCCTTACCACCATCTACCTACTCCTGTCCCAAATCCTTCAATAGTCCCTATTATCTACAGGATAGACAAGCAGGGCTTTACGTGCCAGGATCTACAATACCCTCCCTTCTTGTTTGTTCAACAACAATGTATTGCACATACACTATGCACTATGCATCTAGGTATGGGAGAAACAGCCTGTGAGCTAAACTGGAGGAGTCTTTGCCTTCATAGAACCTACATTACTCCAACCACATCTACAATGATCCAGGCCCTCTCACACCCCAAGCCTTTACTCACACTCTATCTCCATTATTCAGCCACTTGGAAGGTCCGATTCATTCTCAAAGCCCCCGTGGAAGCCTCCCAGACCCCTTACGGCGGGTTAGGGATTCCGTCTGAGCTCCTCCCTTTGCCAGGATCATCCCAGGCTTACCTACCATCCAGCCCCGCATCTGCCTCCCTCCCAGGCTTGTGTGTCACCAGGGCAGGGATCTTCCGTCCTGGAACCAAAGCACACGATTCCAGGGTGCACCCTCCTGGGGCTCCACTGCCCTGCTGCACAGAGCTGAACATACTGAGGCAGCAGGATGAGGGTCTGAAGCCCCTTTGGAGAACTCAAGGGCATTCAGAAACTTCTGCCTGGACATCTATATTCCCATGCTGGCTCTTCAGGAGAGAGAATCGTAGGGGCCACGGTATAGAATGAGTAAAGGCAGGTGGAGGAATGCAGGGTGCTACGGCTAGATAAGATGGGGTGTGTGAGACAGTGAATGCTGGATCAGTGTATGCATAGGCCTGGTCCAGGCAGTGGGGAGCTGTTTAAGGATTTTATGTAGCAAAGAGACAAGACTAGAGCCGTTTTCATCCAGATGAGCAGGTGGCAGGATGAGGACAGGTGATAAGGGCAGCCTTACTGACCCTCAGATTTATGAAGGAGCAGCATGAAGGAGGGCCCCAGTTCCCTGCTGGGCTCCCCAGGGATCTGAGCTTCAATCTTTCCTTCATCTTCCCACTAAGCTCTTCCTTCTCTCAGGTGAGGATGTAGCAAACAGCGGCAGAGCACAAGCCTGGCTCCTGGTCTAGTCTGGCCTCGAGGCAGAGGTCGGCGTCATGGTGATGGGGTAGTTAACCATGCAGCAGACCTTTTCTGTCTGGCCCAGCCTAACAGTCCTGCCCACTGGCTGCCTGCCCACCAGAGGGAAACAGGGCAGAAGCCTTGAGCCCGCCTGCCCCTCTCAGCTACCTCATTTACATGGGCTCATTTCACGCCTCAGTGCATGTGGCTTCCGTCCACCCGGGTGTGTGTTCTGTCCCCAAACCTCTTCACTTGGGCCCAGCAGGACACCAACATCAGTCTCACAGGAAAGAGAGCAGCCACTGAGGCCCAGAGGGGACAAGGACCTCACTGAAGGTCACCTAGAAATCTAAGTGGGGTCAGGACTTGAGCCAGGTTCCCCCCAGCTGCTCCACTCTTTCTGTTGGAATCCACACCCAGCCCAGTGCCTTTGCCACCAGTCAGAGGCCCACTGTTTGGCAAGGAGCTGGGGTACCAGAAACAGACAGGGCACAGACACACACACACACAAAGAGAGAGACACACAGACAGACAGGGCACAGACACACACACACACAAAGAGAGAGACACACAGACAGACAGGGCACAGACACACAACGTGAGCCAAGGCAGATCTGTCTCAGAAGCTAAAACAATGCACCAAAGGCGGGCTTTACCAAAGTCCTGGTCAGCCCTTCCTCCTACACAGGAGGAGAAGGCGGCTCAGAGAGGGCCAGGGTCAGTAAGCGACTCGGGGTCACAAAGATTATGTGACACTGACTCTGACTCCAGCCGAGAGCTCTTCTGGATCCCAGTAACTGTCAAAGACACACGGTTCCAAGCCGTGCCTGTGGCCCTGGTCCCCAGGAAGGCAGGAGGAGTAAGGGAAGGAAGAATGAGAGAGTCCTCAGCCTACTGACTGAAGGGGAAGGGAGTGCCTTGGATGGGGGCACGACGGGAACCAGGGGGCACGGTGCAACTTGAGCGCCAGCAAACCCAGAGTGAGTCCCTCACACCTGATCGAAAGCTGGACTCTGACTCAGAGAGAGGGACAGTCTCATCGATCACACTGCCCTCTGCAGTGTTCTGCTCAGGAAAACACCCCAGTGGAAGCCCCAAAGGCAGTCAGGGTTAGAGCAGAAGATGAAGGAAAGGGAGAGGAGGGGAGAGACATCTGGGCTCTGCTCTGAAGCCCTCCAGCATCCTCACCATTCATCCCAAAGCTCCAGCCCAACCTTGTCCACTGATTCCCCAGCAGCCTCCCACCTCTCCTCCCCACCTCCCTGCCTGCAAGCGCAGCCTTCTTGCAAGTCCTTCCAGATGTCCCGATCTCTGCTTTATTTTAGAAGATGCTCAGAGTCTCTAAAGGCGCCCTGGTGGTACCGTGGATTAAATGAAAAGGTTAGTGGTTCAAGGCCACCAGTTTCTATGTGGAAGAAAGATGAGGCAGTCAGCTAGAAAGATTTCTAACCTCAGAAACTCTAAGGGCAGTTCTGTTCTGTCCTATAGGGTCGCTAAGAGGTTTCAGAATTTCAAAAGCACTAATCACACCCTGTTCTTCATCACTACCCTGGGGGTTGAAAAGCCAAGATCCAGGGTTACCACATAGGCCCTCCCACCTCTGGACTCTATGTCCAGCCACATCTCCTCCCAAGCAGCCTCACTCCGACCCCTTTCCTGCCCCTGGGAGTAAACATCCATTTCCTCCTCCTCATTCCAGGCACTTCCCAGAGTCCTCTGCCACCTACACACACACACTGGCCATCACGCAGGTCCTACAGCGAAGGGGCACATACTGGAGACTGTTTGCAGCTGGCTTATCCAGGCCTCTTGGTGGGGTGCTGGAGGGACTGTGAACGCATGAGGTGAAAGGCCAGTCAGGAGTGGGTGGGGGCCCGGGGGACTTCAGACCTAGATTCCTGCCTCTCACCAGCTGTGTGCCTTGTTGAACTCATTCCCTAGCTGTTGACATCAACACACCAAATCAACCCAATTACTATGGAGTCAATGTTCCAGGAGACCCTATGTGTGCAGAGCCGAATGCACACCACAGACATTCCCTGGCTGTGAACTCTCCAAAGAAGACCCCAGGTGTGTCTTCCCAGGCATCTCTGGGTAGATTCGAACCACCAACCTTCCAGTTGCCAGTGCTTTAACCATCTGTGCTACCCAGCGTGGCACTAAACATGCAATGACAATTCCTCTCATGCATGGCTGTTGAGAGGACCAGTGAGAACAGATTTGAAGTTTGTGTCAAGCAGAGGTGCTGAGGAATAAACAGGAGTCCCAACCCTCACCCAAGGCTTTGCAGGCAAGGAGCAGGAACAGGTAAATAAATAGCTCATTTATTAGTAATATGTTACATTATTAAAGTGCATTGAGAAGAGATGCAGGGGCCGAAGCTGGCAGGCCACCGGCCCCGGGCCCTGCCCTGGCCAGTCAGATCCAGTCGGAGAGGGACCCAGCTCTCTGCTGAAATCCATGGTCAGGGCTGGGGGCAGGGCACCTACCTGGAGAACTGGGCCCAGGTCATCCCCACTGTAATTCACAGTTTAGCCTAAGTTATAAGATGTCCTGAGCTGAAGGAGGGAGGCTAGGAGCATGGAAGCACAGCCCCTGGGGAAGGGGGCTGAAGAGGGGGAGGGCTCTCCCTCCCCACCCTCCAACCCTCAACGCCAAGGGCAGAGTCCTGGAACCTCCCCCTGAGGACCCGGCTCCTCCTTCTAAATGAATGCGGTGAACTAGGGCTCAGTTTTCTCCTTCATTCTCCCATCTCCCTTAACCAATCCCACCTAAAATCTCCTCGTATACTGGTGGACTGGGGTCCTGGGGGAGCTCGGGCCGGCACCCCCAGCCTGGGCTCCCTGGCCAGAGCCAGCTCATGAACCCAGTCTATGAACCCATGCCTGTCTCTGGCCTCTGATCTTCTGTCTGGAAGCCTGAGACTGGGGCTCTTCCCTCTCCCACCCCACCCCCAGCATGAAGTTTTGGTATTTTCAAACAGATGCAGTCGGAAGTAGCTACACATGAAATAAGGCTAACATAAAAATAGAGCTTTTTCCGTCCTTCTGTCCGGAAAGCAAACATCCTTCAATAAACATGCAAGGTGGACCCAGGGGACTCCAGGGCTGGTTCCACCCACTTCCTGACCCCAGAGCTGGAGGGTGCAGCAGAGGGCCTGAGGGAGGACCAGCCACCTTCAGCCAGAGGGTGGGGGTAGAGAGGTAACTGGGGTGCAGAGAGACCAGAAGGTTCAGGCCTCAGCTCCAAGGTCCAGAGGCAGGGTCGCAGACTCCCTTTCTTACCCTCAATCCCCATTCCTTGGGTCTCATACTCAGAGCTTTGCTGCATTTAGCCAAGTCTTTCACAAACATTCTCCAGGGGACATAGTCTGAGTTCACAGATGTCCCCCGAGGCACAGGCAGCTCCTTTATTCTCTGGCCCCCACCACTGGCCCACCTGCGGTCCAGCAGCAGCCGCCAGCGGCTGGCTGTCTCCAGGCCAGAGGACCCGGTCAGGATACCTCTTGGAAGAAGCAAGATTGAGAAGCCCCAGGCCAGCCAGCGGTGGGAGTGAAACATTCCCAGAGCCCTTGAGGCTGGGAAAGCCCATAGCAATCCTGGCCCAGGAGGCTCTAGTAGACCAGCAGACTGAGAAGGACCATGGGCAGGATACCCAGACAGAAGGAGATGGCCGGGGCTTGGGCGCAGCCCATCAGGTACTTGGCTGTGGTGGTGCCATCATCAGACAGCAGCTCCCAGTGCTGGACCTCAAAGAGGTAGGAGCCCTCCTGGGCTTCGCAATGGTAGTGGCCTTGCTGCTGGGGCGTGAAGTTCTCGATGAACAGGATGCAGTTGGCGCCCTGGTAGCTGGGTTCACAGTTGGGGCTCTGGTAGCTGGGCTCACAGGTCTGCACCACAGTCTTACCATGGCGCCATGAGTAGTTGGCATGGCGGGACACCATGGGGCAACTCAGATAGTATCTCGCATGCCGGGGCAGGGAAACCTTCTGCAGAGGAGCCTGGTCTAGGGAGGAAGAAGGGAGGCAGGCTGTGAGGAGGGCTCCCGTGGGAGGTTCTCCCACCCCACCCCACCCTATCTGGGGCTGTTTTTATTTATAAGTTGTTGTTATTGTGGGCTGTCAAGTCAGAACCCACTCATAACTGACCCTCTAGCAGGTTTTCAGAGGCTGTAAATCACAAGGGAGAAGATCTCTCACCCTTCTGTGGAGCAGTTCGTGGATTCAAACCATTCAAATGGAGTGCTTTTGATAAGTAGCCCCTCTCTCATAATCACCCCCTCCCATAACCAGCCTCTGTCCTAGCAGGGCACCCCAGACAAGCCCATGCCTCCCTCCAGGTGGACTAAGTGGGACTGTGTGCGGAGCTGGACCCGGTACCTGGCTTTGGGTTGGTACAGTCTTTATATGGCTCGGCTGGGTCAGTGGGCTGCACTATGTGGGTCCTAGAAGTGAAGGAAGGAGGCTGAGCGGACAGGAGGCTTCATCCTTGGCCCCCTCCTCACCCTCACCCTTCACTTAGGTGCACTGCTGCTGTCCACGCAGAGTGGGACCGGCCAGAATAGCCCTAGGCTGATGTCTCCTGTAGCCCACCAACATACCACCACCCCCTCCTCCCAAGGACAAGGGATTCAGCCAAGGTAGCCTTGCCATGGAGTACGGTAGATGGACGCGCAGCGGTCCTGGAACCAGCCACAGTAGGGGTCTTGAGCCATGAGGCACCCGGGGCATCCCCCACTGTACACTTCACACAGGTCCAGAGGCACCTGGCTGATCTCCCACTCGGAGCTCACATACAGTTTCCGCTGGAAGAAAAATAGGGTGTAGGGTCAGGATAGGGCCTGTGGAACCTTTGGGTGCTACACAAAGTTCTGGGCCCTGGTCCATAAGACTAAGCTGCTTAGGAGGCCCTGGGGTACAGATTCCTCAAAAGACATGCAAACTGCATGCAAAGGAGCCCTGTTCTCAGCTAGCCACCACTGGGAAGCCCTAAGGGATGGGAGAGGAGAGGCTCACCCGGTCAGTGTCCAGCGTAATAGTTTTGATGGCAGCCGGACGGCGGAAAGGCTGGATTTCCATGATGTTTGACACTAAGTCATATTTCATATCCTCTGAATGCACCACCTTGTGGATGGTGCCCTTGTCTGTGGACGAGGGGCAGAAAGTCAGGTGACAGGAGCCCACTAAAGAGCTAGGCAGTTTCTCTAGAGGCTGAGCCAGTCCAGGAGAGACATGGGGAGAGACAGAGTCAGGGTGGAGTGTCTCTGGTGCAGGTGAGGGTCATGGGACCAGGATGGTGTGGGGGATGAGGACAGCCTGACTGGGAAAGGAATGTGGAAACCTGAGGTAGCCCCAGAAATTTCCAAGGTTGGGTTAAGGAGGCCCAAAAGGGAGGTCCAGGGCTTCCCTCAGAGGGTTCCCAAAGGAGCCTGGAGCATGAAGAACAGAACCAGGAGCCCACACACCCAAACACTGGATCAAGTCCTCTGCCATCTGATGTTATCTTCCCTACTTCACAAGTGAGAAAATGAGGTTCAGAAATCTAAACAACTTGCTCAAGCTCACACAGCAGAGACCAAGCTGAAACCCAAACCTGTCAGAATCCAAGCCCGAAGCTCCTATTACTCCCTTGCCTCCTGGGTTCCTAGCGGATATATTTCCTTTAAATAAACTTTTAATTTTGGAATAATTTTAGATTTACAGAACGGTGGCAAAGATAGCACAGAGAGTCTTCATACACCCTTTACCCAGTTTCCCCTAATACTAACATCTTACATAACCACAGAGCACTTGTCACAACGAAGAAACTGACATTGGTACCTTACTATTAACTAAGATTTTAGTCAGATTTCATCCGTTTCCCCCACTCATATCCTTGTTCTATTCCAGGAGCCAATCCAGGATCGTATGTTCCATTTATTCCCAGGGGATATTTTAATTTCTAGAAAACCTTAGATCTGAGAGGGACTTTACATTCTAGCTGGTTCATTTCCAGAGGAGGAAGTGACTGGACCAAGGTCACATAACCAGGCTATCTGCCTCCCAAGAACAATGAGATCGTCATAAACACCTATGAGGATTGATGGGCATCTTGACCTCTGGGACCTTCCAATCCCTGACTGCACCCTCCGTCCCAGTTTCTAGAATAGCCTGCCTTCCTCTCCCCCTCCTTCTCAATATCCCAGGACATCAGTTGCCCCATAAAAGCAGTCAGATGCACGCACACACACACACACACACACACACACACACAGTCATTCACCTCCTTTTTACATGGCTCTGATATTAGCCTCTCTTTGGGAAAACTTCCAAGAACTGAGAAACCAAGAACTTCTCCCAATTATGAGTGCCTCCCATTCTCTGCAGACGACTCAGAAAGTTCTTCTATTTTTCATCTGACCCCAATCCTTCCTGCTGCAGGCTCCAAAATGGCTTTTCTCAAATGGCCTTCAGGGCGAAGCAGGACAAGCGTCCTCATCACACAAGCGCACTGCAGAGAAAGGGGTCAGAGGCGCCAGACAAGTACAAGACAAGCCAGTCTTGTACTTTCCGGTGACCCATGGTCCCTTGAGCTGATCAAAATGGGCAGCCCTATTGATCCTGGGGCAGAGCAAGGACAGAGAACTCGGGAATAACCAAGATAAATAAAAGAGGAGAAAGGTGGAGTCTGGGACCCAGAAGCCAGGCTCTGCCTCAGGGTAGGAAGGTGGGAGTCTCTCTCCCTGAGGCTTTCAGGGGTCAAACAATGGCCTGGGGCTCAGATTTCCAATGAGGCCACCAAAGCCAAGTGGCAGAAAGTCACACAGAAGAGCCCAAACAATTGAGGGGGGAGCTGCCTAAGGACTGGACTGCATGGCCCCAGCTTCAACGAGACATCGTCCTTCCTGCTGGCACCACCATCCAATCTTACGGAAAATTTCCACGTCATAGTCCTAGACTCTCTTCAACCATCATCTGGCACCAGGAAGCTGCCGTGCAGCAGCTCAAGGCTGCCTCCTCCATGGCCGTTGGATTTCGGGAAGCCAGGAGCACCTCCCAGGGCACTCTGCCTGGTTTCTCAGGAATAGCCCACTCCAGGGACAAGCAGGTGCCACCCCGGTCCTCTGCAAAGACTGCTAGCCAGAAGTCCTTCCTGTCACGTCACTAAATTTTTTGGGTCCCACTGATCTATCACTGGCACAATCTCAAAGATGGAGGAAGAGTCTGATTTCCTGACTCCGCCTGACTGAGGCCTGGAGGATCCCCAGAGGGCAGCTCCCTACTCCTGCCTCCCCCCATCTCTTATCACCTCCTTCCTCAAGAAAGACATAAGCCCCAGGTCCCACATCTGTCACCTTTCTGCTTCCAAATTCTGGTGTATGTTCTCCCATCTTAGGATGCCTTTCCTTTGCCCTGCTGCCTACACTTCCTCCAGGAAGCCCTCCTTGCCTGACACTTCCAGTCACACACACTAACCCCTGCTAGCTCTTAGTCACTCAACCTCCCTTCCTGGATAAATCTCCAGCCTGACAGCTATGACATTGTACTTTCCATGTCCACTTTTACAAAACAGATTGGGGGGTCTCATGGGCAGCTCACCTGTGGTTAGGTACATCACGTGGAAATTCGTCCCTATGCTGTCACTCATGTGATGGACAACCAGCTTCTGGTAGTGGCACTTGGAGTGGAACAGCGGTGTCTTCAGGGGTCCAAAAGGCTCTACTCGCTGCGATACCTCAGGGTGGCCGTCGGCCACGTGGAAGGTGTCCGTGGGTACCACCCCGCGGTTTGGGAGGCACTGAATGAGGAGAGCAGACTGGGTCAGTGAGGTGTCTAGGGACAGGGTGGAGACAGGTCTGGAAGCTGGGTCATGGCGCTGTGCCTGCTCACCTGGCCAGGCCGAGGCCTGGGAAGGGGTTTGTTGTAGCCTTTGAGTGAAGAGGTACGGAAGACTTTGTCAATGTCACCAAAGGAATACATACAGATAGCTGAGTAGTTCCTGGGGGGACACAGAAACCACCTCAGTTTGAGGCCCACATCTGCTCATCTCCACTCATCAGCCCAGCACCAGACAGCACACTGCCCCAGCCTGCAGCCAAGCCCCCTGGTTTATGAGCTCCAGGGCTGCAGGAATGCTGCTCAGGGCCAGGCTCCGTGCCCAGCATGGACAGACATTCACTGAACGCCACAGACAGGGAAAGAGAAGGAAGGGGTTAGGGAACAAAGAAAGGACAGAAAATTCAACCTGCTTTCTTCCTGCTGGGACTAACCCACAGCCTCTCATCCCATTCTGGAATCACTGAACTCAGAGGCCATTTGCTTGGCCAGCCCTCAAGCTAAAATCCCAGCTCCTGCAACCCTGCTAGCTGATCTCGTCTGGGCACAGGAGCCAGAGAGCGGGGCTGCTTCCCAACCTCGCCATCCACCTCATCCCCCCAGCTCTTCTGCCTGCCTTGTTTTCAATCAATGAGAGTGATTAAGAAGTGTGAATTATCAAGCGCAGGCAGTGCCTGAGGAGGTGTGACAGCACCCAGCACCCTGGGCAAGGTTTCTGCAGCACTGAGCACACACAGGTGGCAGGACACACAGACATGGACACAGCCACAAGTGTGCATGAGGACACACACACACACACACACACACACACACACACGTGCACACACACACATTACACAGGATCACAAACACACAGCGTACATGTCACCAAACTGCCCCTGTTCCCCAGACTGCATTCCACCCCAGACCCAGGAACAGCCCCACGTCACACCGGCTTCCTCTCAGCAGCAGCCAAGCACACAGGCTCTCCACTGGACACTTCAATGATACCAGCCTCCTGGTTCTAGTTGAGGGCTACTCACCAGGAGTTGGAGAAAATGCCAAAGACCTTGCTGTTCCTCCAGTCACCTTTAGGATCGGGAAGCACGAAGACGTCCTGCAGCCTGTTGAAGTTGGTGGAGGTGGCATCGCTGCACACAAGCAAAGCTTTCAGGAAAGTGTTCCACTTGGAGGCTGCCATGGAACTCTCACCCCCCTGGTCCCACTGTGGAGACAGAGGGGAGAGGAGGGCCTCAGCACCAGCCCAGGCTGCCCCATGGCAAGAGGCACCTTCTGCCAGAAACACCAGCCCTCAGGTTACAGGGCAGGCAGTCTCAGAGAGGGCTTGGGGCTTTCCAGAAGGCGAGGCAGAGCTGCCAGGCCTAGTTCCAAGGCCAGGCTCCAGCTGATAAGCCTGCCAGACCCAGGGCTCCAGGTGACTGGTAGGGACAATGCTGGTGAAACTGGGTCCCCACCAAGTAAGTAGACAGGCTCAGATACTCAATCACCCTCTCCCACCTCCCCCCGCCCCCACACACAGACGGCAACAGCCTCACACATTGTACCATGTTCCCACGAGTGAAGTACATACCTGAAATGCACCTTCACACACACGTGCTCTTCTGCAGACACACCCACATACCCTTCACACATGTGCACACAGGTCCACAAGCACATACAACCGCTCACATACTCCCATAATCCTGTACACATGCACGTTGGGACATACTCCTGCAGGGCACATGGACATATCCTCACTCACATGCTCATTCACTCCCAGTTATGCACAAACACACGCATGGCCACGCAGCACCCTGCCCTCACACACTCGCTCACCCTGCATAGCTGGGCCACTCGGGACACATTGAGCGGAGCCTCGGGGTTCTTGTCAGGATTGTCCTCCCGGAAGAAGCAGTAGATCTTGTCATTGTAGGACTGGTCTTGCAGCACTATGGTGGCCTTGATGAACTTTGGGTCTGCCAGGGACATGGGAGAACTGGGATAAGGTTGGGGACCCTCCTGGAGGTATTTAATCCCACCCTGCACATACTGAATCTGCACAAATCCCCTGGAATACAACAGGGATCATCAGGTCTAATATCCCAAGGGGTCCCAGATGCCACACTCCTCCCCAAGCATGTTTTGTCCTCCTCCTACAAAGACGTCATTGGCCCCAGAGCAATGACTTCATGGCTGGGGACTGGGAGGAAGCCTCTGGGGCCCCTTATGTCATTTCTGCCTAATTGGCGGTACTCTAACAAGGAGGGAGGGCCTGGGCTACCCTCACATGAGCTCAGCAGAGGAATCAACAGGAACCTGGAGCCCAGTTTTTCCTGTTTTTGTTTCTTGAGCCCATGTCTCCTCTTTCGTTCTGTTTCTACGATTCCCCTATTCCCTGCCAACCCGAATGGCCCACATTGGGCTCCTCAGGCCTCTAAGAGCTCCTGATTTCCTATAGGAGCCCTGGTGGGGCTGTGAGTTAAGTACTGGATATCAACAGAAAGGTCAACCACTCCACGTAGGAACCGTAAAGCAATCTGCTTCCATAAAGACTTTATAGCTTGCCCTGCATGGTCCCTGCTGCCCCAGTGGCCCTCAAGGAAGCAGCCCTCATCCCCAGGGAAAGGTCCCGTCTGCCCTGGGAATCGCACCCTTTGTTTACGACAGCCCAGCCGGCAGGCCCCACTCACTCTTCATGACAGTGTCACTGGTGTACAATATGTTCTCACCCTCGATGCGGCGGAACCGGGGGATATTCTTGCGGGATTCCTGCTTCTGGATGGTGGAGTATACCTCCTTCCCTGGGGACAGTGGAAAGGGGCATGGGTAAGGGCAGACAGCTCCTGGAAGACCCTCTCCAGGGCTGGGCCACAGACAGGATCAGGTGCTCATTACTCCCCTTCCCCAACCCAGAGTGGCAGGCCCCCCAAAGCCCTCTGTAGCCGTACCATCAAACAGGACTATGGTGTTGTCTTCTGGCTTGAAGGGTGCATAGCCCCTCTTCTCTCCAAGGGGCTTCAACGTGCCATTTACCTGGAGGCAAAAGAGTCAAGTGGCCATGTAATCCCTGGCTACTGACCCTTGGGCCAGGGGCAGGCCCCATCCTCCCAAAGCAAGGCCAGCCTCAGAGTCCCCCTACCTCCTTCCACCACGGGGGGCAGCGCCCACAGAGGGAGTGGTTAGGCACATGGGGAGGGGTCGTCTCACCAGGTTCCAGCAGCTGGGGCGCCGTGCGTTGGTGCCACAGATGAGCAGCTCGTCGTCCCGCCTATCCAGAAGAGTAATATAGTTCTCACAGTCCTGTCCGGAAGGAGAGAACGCGGTCAGCGGAAGGCCTGGGCACTAGGACTCGCTCTCAGGAAGAAGGCGTCAGAGGAGCTGAAGCACAGTAACAAACATCTTCCAAGGGGAGGGCAGAGGGATGCAGCTGACTTCATCCCCCCCATAAACAGGACACAGAGGCCTCTGGGGGTTGGGGAGGGAGCCCTGGCTTTCTTCTCAGATTGAGGTTCCTAAAGCAGGGCCATGCATGGATCTCAGTCATGGATTTTCCTCTCTTCCAAGGACTCGCCCTCCCATCCCTCGCCCGCACTCACCTGGCTGTCCTTACAGGAACTGCTTGTGGCAGGAATTTTCACCTGAGGGGTTAAGGGAGAAAAGCATTAGTCCTCTGCGCCAGGGTGAGGTGCCCACCCAAGTGCTTCCCGTGCACCCCCAGGGCGAGTCTGTGATGAAGAAGGCAGTGTTCTCATTATACAGATGAGCAACCAGGGTTTGCAGAGTGTGAGTGGTTTACTTCCATTATGGAGCCCCTCAGTCTGACAGGCATGCTGAAGGCCAAAGCCCCCAGTTTAGTGGGCCTGACCCAGGAACTGAGGAGGACAGGCATTGCAGGGATCCAGGCCCAGGTTCCTGCTGGGGCTTCCCCCTTTGGCACTGCTCACCTGGCCAATGGCATGAACTCCTGGCTTTTCATCAACCACCACCCATTTTCCAATAGGGACTACTTTTAGGGAACCTCTCCCAAGAATCATTTATGGAATACAAGGATTGGGATAAAGAGATTGAGACAGAGATGCCAACTCCCTTGAATTAATTCCCAAGGCTCAAGAGGTGCAAAGGAGAAAGAGAGGAGATGAGGGGACTCGGAGATTCAGCTGTGCCCCCCCAAGGCCAGCAAGCTCACCTTGTGCATCGAGGCGTTCTTGCCCTCGGGAAAGTCGAAGTGATACACCTTGCCTCTTCCACCCACCCACACAGAGGAGCTGTCCTGCTCGTGGAAAAGCACTGTGTGTGGCTCAGTCTGGCCAAAGTCTACCCGGTCCTGTCCTGCTCGGCCTGTGGAGGCAGCAATTGGCAGAAACAGTGAGGACAGGCCTTCAGAGGGTGATCCTACAAGCCCATCAGCCCCCTGGCAACTAACACTTGCTGGTCAGGACATTGGCCAGGTCTTAGCAACAAGGGCTTGACTGGCGTGACATCAGGACGTGCAGCAGAAATGTGAAGTCCAAGAACGAGCTATCTCCACCCAAGAATCACAGATCCTAGGACGGCAACCCCACCCTCCCTCATAACAGGTGTGACTTTGGGATGAGACAAGATTTAGGGGGTTTGCAGATAGAGAACTCATAAGCTTCTCAGCTGCTAACTTAAAGCCTGGAGTTCGGATCTACTAAGAGGCACTTAAGAAGAAAGGCTTGGCAATCAATTTGTTGTTGTTGTTGATTGCCATCGAGTCATGCACAACACATAGCGCCTCTATTAACAAAAGACCTGAGGCCTTTCTATAACTATCGTTTCTCCAAGTTCATAGAGTTTCCAGAGGCCTGTGATTTAGGAAGTGGGTGTTTCCAAACCTGTCTTAAATCTGGGAGCTCCACCAAACACTGTCTACATTAGGCAGCCATTATGACATTTGAGATCCCACTGGTACAAGGTTCAGTGTCACATCAAATCCAGATTACCTCAGCACAATAAAGTGACAGAAGAGTGCAGTCCGATGTAAAAGAATGTTCCTCCAAAATACAGTAACAAGGGATTAAAATATAATCCCTCAGGGCCAACTTTTAAATATAAGGGCCTACCAGGAGGTCTTGTTGACTCTAAACAAGAGGCTTAAATAAAAAACAATCAAACCTTCCACACAGATCCTCAACCAAAACAAGAAAGCCCATCTTACAGAGTCCAGTAGCTTCACTCAGTCTCCAAAATGGAGACAAGGGCTTGGCCTTAAACGCAAGTGTCCTCCTGGTGGTCTTGTTGACTCTAAACAAGAGGCTTAAATAAAAACAATCCACACAAATCCAAAACCAAAACAGCACCATACTACAGAAGACAAGGGCTTGGCATTACATGTTGTTGTTGTTGTTGTTAAGTACCTTCTGGTACTGACCCCATAAACAAGACGTTAACCTTGTTCTATAACTATTGTCCTTTCTCTAAGTTCATAATTTCTACAAGCATGTTTAGGAAGGCGATGACACTCCTGCTTCCAAGCCCATCTTAATCTGTGAGCTCTATCAAACATTGTCAGCCATGTGTAACCATTTCAGCACCTGACAGACCAGTGGCACAACATTCAGTACCTCAGTATCACAGCACTCCTAAATTACCTCAATACAGAGGAATGACAGAACAGTGCTGTCTCCTAAGTGGGAGACACTTAGGAGTGTTCATTTTAAAAGAATTTTAAAGGCTGCAGACCCAAGCATGAGGCTCTCATTGGTTCCCAAGAAGAGGCTTCTGGCCAGTCAAAAAACTGATACAGAGCCTGTCCCTGGCCCACACAGAAAGATTCACCTCCAAATCAATCTACTTCTGAGAAATCAGCCACTGGAAACTTTATGGAATACAGTTCTACTCTGACACACACAAAGTTGCCAATGAACTGAAAGAGACTTGATGAGAATTAAGGGAAGAACAGAGTTCTTCTGCTTGAGAGGGCCGGGCTCAGGCAGGAGGAATCACAGCCCCTCAGTCCTCATCATTCTGGGGTCTGAAGCTTGACTGGCCCTCTGAGTCTCTTGGCTGTACCAGAACAGAGTTAACAGCCATCCTCATCAGAGCCTCTGGGAGCCTCATTTTATAAAGCCTGAGTTCCTGAGCATTATTATGTCCATAACCCATCCCCTCCTGCAGGAAGCCCTCTTTGTCCCCTCCATGCTCATCCCCAGTCCTTTAGGGAATACCAGGTCAGCACTGGAAAATAATCATGAAGTCTATTACTTCCCATTTTACAGCTGGGAATACAGAGGTCAAGAGAGAAGCCAGGACCAGCCCAAGGTCACACAGAGCCCATCCTGGGCTGGGCTCTGCAGAGAGGCCCGCTGTGGTCTGGTTGCCCTGAGATTGCTGCCCTCCAGCAGCTCTGGGACAGGGGCCCTTCACAAAGCAGAAGCTTTAAGCAGAAGCGCTGACTGGGACAATTTTGCCCAAAAAGGAAAGTGTCTGCAGCCGCTGCTTGCCTGCGGGTTGAGGGGGAGCTGTCTTGTCTGGAGTGACATTGCCAAAGTTGTCCTTGTTACAGGACTAAATTACAGGGAGGGGACGCCCTGTGGCTATGCCCCCAGCAATCAGCCACAATCAGTGCCCACCTCTGACCAGCCTGAGGACCACACCCCGGAACTCCTCCAGAACTCCGCCTGACCACTGTTTTTTTCAGCTGCAACAGTCTGGAGCATTCAGTTTGACACCCAAACAGGATGCACTGAAGCCCAGACAGAAGAGAAGTGCCACCTCCTCGTGTCTGCCCTGCATCTCTCTGGCTGCTACCTGAACCTATTCTTTCAGGATCTGCATTCTGCGGGAGTGAGAGGGACTCGAGTGCAGGTTATGGCCCCCATTCCTTTCCTTAAGTTACTAACCTGCATCACAGACAGCCCTAAAAGCTTCTGGTGTAGGGTGAGGGGATGGAAGGGAGGCTATTTTCATTCTTCACCTCAGCCTGGCTCAGGGTACAAAGGATTCTTCCTTTGTACAGAGGTCCCCTGGGGGTGTATCTAGCCAAGGTCACACTCAAGGCAGCAAACATCAGCGCCTGCAGCCGGAGTATCAGTTGTCAGACTGATACTGGGAGGTGTGAGCACTGTGGTCTCCTGGAGAACTGCAGAGCTCACTCCTTTCAGGGCCACCTGGCTCTCCATGGGCTCTGGGAGGCCTGGGACCCAGTGTCTCCCAATCAGCCCCACCTGTGCAGGACAGGGGCTGAGAGCCAACCTCAGTGCTGGAGGTGTTGGCCAAAGCTTGACAGGGCGGACAGGTCCCAGGACTCCAGGCTCTGATGTCTGATGTGAGCCCTGAATGCTGCCCTTCCCCTCGCCGCCCCTAGCCTTCCAGAGGGAGCAAAATTAGAGGAGTGCTGGGGTCAGCGATTCCTGGCCACCTGGCCTTCCTGACTCAGCTGTCACAGCTGCCCTTTACCCACAGCCTGGGCAGAGCCATCTTCCCCACAGCCTAGCCTGGGATCCAGACAGACTGTGGCCCCAGTTCCCCTTCCTCTCCTCCTTATCAGCTCGCGGCCAGTAAAAGCTGCAAGTCTGCATAGAGAGACACTGAGTTGGGGCTGAGAGCCACGGCTCTCGGGGTACAGGTGGGCCACACCGGTCACCTCTAGCAGTCATCCCAACCTCAGCCTCACACCACACCTCGAGGAGGGAGAACTGGCTGGGCTAGTAGACAATTCAACTCCTGGGGGAAAAGAGGTACCAAGAGGGAGACCTGGAGAGGGATCTTGTCTGAGGACTTTCAAGACAGTCAAAGGGAGGAGGAGACTCAGTCCTCCCTGGGGGAGCCAAGCCTGATGGGGGCAATTTGGCTTAGCCCCAGAGATGAAAGTTTGGGGGGACACCTGGCCCTGGGAACCAGCCCTCTGAAAACTGAAGCAGCCACATCAAAGGAAGTCTGTGAAGCGCTCAAGCAAAATTGCCTTGGCACAGCCCCGGGGGCTCCTGAAAACCTATGGAATCCAGAAGACACCCTCCCCCTGCTGTTCCTGGGGCCTCAGCTCAGGCAGGTGGAACCACAAGTCCTCAGCTCTGTTCTGAGATCTCATGCCTGCACTTGGCCCTGTGGTCTCCTGGATGCCCCCAGAATGGAGTTTACAGCCTTCCAACTGCAGGCAACATGAAGGGAGGGCAGGTCTGAGGGGGCGGGGGCATTAGGCAGCACCAGGGCCTGGACAGTGTGAATCTATAACGTAAGGCCAGGTCCCCTCAAATACTGCTTCAGGGTGAGGGTGGAGGTGACAAGGACAGACCAAAGAATAGAGTCCAGGAGCATTACCTCCAGTGACCCCAGGCTCCTGCTTCTCCTGGGTCTGGTGATGTGTACGGGGGTGGCACCAGCTAAGCCCCAAGACGAGGCCACAGCCATTCTCCACCCTAGCCCCTGCCCCAGCCCGGCTAGGGCTCCCGCACTGCCACTGCCCAAGGCCCTCAAAAGGCCTAATTGTGCCGGAAAGTGTCGGAGCAGCAGCAGCCCGATGAATACATGAAAGGAAGCTTTGTTCCTGCCGCAGGAGAGGGGGCTGGGGGCTCAGAGAAAGGAGGGCTGCCTGGAAGTGAAGGCAGCACCAAGCCATCCCGGTCAGGATTGCGGCCCAATCGGCTCTACATGAAGGCTGCTGGGTCAGGCCAGGGGGTGACCTTCAAGTGGCAGCCCAGTCAGGCGCTGAGCAAGGCCAGAGGGCTGCCCGGGGCAAGAGAGCAAGAGTCACATCCCTCAAGTGCCTTCCCTCAGCTGCACCAAGAGTCAAAAGGGCAGGAGAGGAAGATAAAAGCTTAGATGGTCAAGAACAAGATGCGAACCAATTCAATGCAGGGAAATAGCCAGAGTAGAGAGGAGGAAGGCAGAGGGATGAATGGTCAGAGGCCACGTGCTGAAGTCTGGAGGAGATCTAATGAGGGAAGAATTGGAAAGGTGGGCTGAGGCCCTGCATGACAGGGGGCAGACCAGGAGTTACTCTAAGGGATGCAGACCCACATCCAGCAGTCTTCCCACCACTGCATGGCCACTTCCAGCAGGGCTAGGATTGAGAGCTGCTGCCCTTCCTCCGGCGTCCCCCACCCCCCTGCCCTCCCTGCCTGACCAGCCTCCCATCCTGCATGTCTAAAAGGAGCACCGTCTGGCACCGTGTCTCCCTCCTCGCTCCCTGGCCTGACGCATTAGTGGCTGACTAAGTGGTAGCTAAAAGCTCCCAGAATAACCAGGAGTTCGGGGAGGGGGCTAGGGGTGCACAGGGCGGGCATGGCCCCAGACGTGAACGAAGCACAAGACAACCCAGGGCCATCTCCGTGTGATCTTAAATCAATCTCCCTCTTTAAGGCACAGCCCCGTGACCT